AAGCATTCTAAGTGCGATTTCTACGAATCTTCATTCACATTTTGATTCAGGAATTAATGGCTAATGCCCTTAAACACTGAGTTGTCATATGGGTTCTACTAGTAGGATATGACTCTAGAGACACTATACGTTTTAGTTAAAATGAATCTTTTGTTTCAATACCTTCGAAATTCATCTTAAAATACACTAGCTTATTGAAATTTCATAAGCTTTATTGACTATTTTGTCAATGTTAAAGCAGTGTTCCTCTAAATATAGCTTATAATTCTAGTTTGATTTTCAAAAGATCTTTAAGTGAATTAAAAAATTTTATTCCCTATGTCGTTTTACATGTGCACTTAATTACATTAATAAATAAACTTCTAACTACTCCTTCCTTGTTCGAGGTCTTAAAACCAGCCTTGCATTCATTCATTGAACTCTCAGCCAAGAGAGAGCGATTTCGACCTCGATTAAATCTTGTCACTGTCCCATATTTTACTGGATGGGTAATACATTCAGAACCGACCTATTTTACTTATTATCTCTAGCCGATATGTATGTCAAGAGACGAAACTTTCTTACTACCAAATTTGTTACATCATCGAATTCGTATTTTTTGCTTAAGCAGCCAAAGAGAAATGAGTTCACACTAAGTATCCTTGCAGCATCCCTTGAACATCATGGAAAACATTTTGATTTCATGATCACTGTTTAATATACTATTAACGCTGATTTTTTATATTTGTCTAATTTCATCTAATTTTTATCTTTTAACAGAGTTCCGATACATTTGGCACGATAGAGAAGAATAATCCGTCTGACCAAACTGATCTGGCTTCGACTATTGGACTAATTTCTGGTGCAGGTATACCTGTAAATAGCCTTGGTGTCCCTCGACGAAATATTTTATCCACATTTTGGCAGAGTAGCTTCGATCAGTTGCTTAACATAGATGCTCTACTTCAACACTTTGGTATTTTATCTGGATGCCTGAATCAGTTTAATCTCGTGGAAACTGGTTGTTCTTCAACATTATTGACGCCAAAACTCGGTTAGCTGGTTTGCTTACTTTTTTTCAATTAATCGAAGAATTATTTTCTATAAATCCTTATACATATTAAAGTTTAAAAGACCAACAAGTGAACTAGGCTTCGGCGAATCCATCACTATTTTGACTATTTGCGTCTTTATTTCGTGAGAAGTAAACAAAAAATTAATTCGTATACATGCATCAATGTTG